CAACTGCTAGGAAGCAGTTGCAGGAGATTGCATGAGACAGTCACATTGGACTAGGGTGATGGTGGTGAGTGCTTGGGTTTGGAGTATGTTTTGAAAATAGATAAACGGCATAAGATTGTGGATATTAAGCGCCTGTGTAATTTTATTTTTATGGTATGATGATTTAGGATGCCATGTTAAGTATATCTCCATTTTAGCTATCGTTTTAAAAAAATAAACCATAGTTTCTTAGCATCTCTTACCAGAAGTGGCATTACTGTGTCAAAGGCTATGAACATTGGTATGGCTCTTGATAAGTACTGTACTTGCTTTCCACAAGGATGGTACCTGTTACTGTATCACCAGAAATGCTTGACTTCTATGTTTAACTTTTGCCAGCATAGTGTATTTCATTTAGAAAAGTTTTTTTTTTTTTGCGGTACGCGGGCCTCTCGCTGCTGTGGCCTCTCCCATTGCGGAGCACAGGCTCTGGACGCACAGGCTCAGCGGCCATGGCTCCGCGGCATGTGGGATCTTCCCGGACAGGGGCACGAACCCGTGTTCCCTGCATCGGCAGGTGGACTCTCAACCACTGCGCCACCAGGGAAGCCCTAGAAAAGTTTTTTTTTTTTTTTCCTACTACTTCAGTAAATTAAAATAGTTCTTTAGTTGGGAGTAAGGGGAAATCTATGGAATAACTTTCCTTCATTTAATATTTTATTATGTTGAGTTAGTTTTTAAGTGGCTTGCTTTTATCCTCGTTTCCAAAGGATGTTAGTAACCTATGTATCTGATCTAAAAGTTTATTCTGTTTGAAAGGCTGGAAATAACACTAATTAAAAATGTAAAGTCTTGATTCTTTTCTTGCTGTCTTTAACTAGTTTCATTGTGGAATTTATGTGGTTTTAAACTGGTTAGGCTTTGATAACCTGTACTTTCTCAGTGATGATTTTTTTTTTAATATAAAAGGAATAGTATGTGTTGAGAGTACTTTAGATTTGTGGTAAGGTATTAGCTTAGAGCAGGGGTTGGCAAAATGTAAAGGGTCAATTTGGGTCTTTGTCACATAATCTTTGTTGTTGTTTTTTTTTAAACAACCATTTAAAAACTGTTCTTGGCTCATAGACCATACAAAAACAGGTGGGCAGGATTTGGCCTTGTGGGCCACAGTTTACTGTACCCTTATTTAGGCTCTCATGTTGGGAACGATTCTACATTGATGCATACATTTTTTTTTCTACTTCCATATACTTTTTTTCTTCTGGCTAAACAAAATCTTTAGTACTTACATATCATTTTTGTTGTGCTTGCTGTCTGCTTTGTCTTAAAACCTGTCATTTCTTTTCAGATCAGATCTCACCATTTAGCACTTTTGTTCTTAAGTTTTTATCAAGTTGCACTGCCTTTTTATATAGCTCAGTGACTAATTATGCTTCTAAGGATGACTGTAGTTAAAATTGGGGGCTTCCCTGGTGGCGCAGTGGTTAAGAATCTGCCTGCCAATGCGGGGGACATGGGTTCGAGCCCTGGTCCGGGAAGATCCCACATGCCATGGAGCAACAAAGCCCGTGAGCCACAGCTACTGAAGCCCGTGCGCTAGAGCCCGTGCTCCACAACAAGAGAAGCCACTGCAATTAGAAGCGCGTGCAGCCCCTGCTTGCCATAACTAGAGAAAGCCTGTGCACAGCAACAGAGACCCAGTACAGCCAAAAATAAATAAATAAAATAATTAAATTTATTTTTTTAAAAAAAGAAATGCAAATAAATAAATAAATAAATAAAATTAACTTGGGAAATACTGAATTTTAAACCTAAACCTGTTATTTGTAATCAGCATATTCTTCCTCATTGTTTATAGGCAGGTTGTAGATTACGTTTTTTCAATAACAGAATGTGACTCAGAATTTTGCTTTCAATATCTTTGGGGTTTAGAAGGGAAAAGTTAATAGGAATGAATAGGGACTTCTTTCCCAGTTTTCAGTCCCTTTGGGAATGTGGGAACATGCTGTGAAATGCATGCAGAAACTACTAATATTTCACAGTGTATACTTTTGAAACACAAAGTGTTTGAAAATTTTTTAAATGGGAGTTCACTGAGGTATACATCTTAGAGGCGATACCTGTGGGCACATGTCCGTAATCCTCCAGCCACACCTTAGGTATAGATTTGTGTGGCTCCAGAAGCTATAGTCTTTAATTTCATTGTTGATAGAAAATTGTAAAGATTAAAGTAACCATTAACCGTAAGGTTAACTTCAGCTAGTACTGGTAAGTGAAGAATGCGAGGTGACAGCAGTAGGTGAGGAAAAGTCTTTCGTCTGTTTCACATGTGCCGTAGCCACACCTGGGTAATGAATGGACTGACTCCAAGAAACTGTACTTTGTTCTCAATTCCTGCTCTTTCATTCTACTCCAAAAACAACGGTTTTCAATTTATAATATACAGGAGTTCTTTCAAGGATCAATAGTTAATTAAAGGAATAGGCTAAAATAAAATGTCAACCAAATGTTCAAATCTTTAGTCAAGAGCTTCTTGTTTAGAAAATTAAATATCCATCCTTTTTTTTCTGACTGTTGAGATAATTGGTTTTTATTATAGAAAATTTGAAAAATACAGTTTACTTTAAACAATAAGCGCGAGATCATTCTAATATGGTAATCTTTCACACTTCTTAAAATTAAAAGGCAAAGAAAGAAATACATTTAAAATAATACCTATTACCACAAAAAACGGTAAGCAAGAGATCGATTATTTCTTAGATTAATTATCTCCATCAGAGACATACCCTTTGTTAACATTTTGATGTACATACCACCACGAGTTTTTTAATATATGTACATACAAGATACATTTATACAGATGTGCAGAGATACTTTATTGGGATCATGCTACATGTGTATCTTTGTATTCTCCTTATGCTGTGAACAGTTTTCAAACACTTTTCCAAAAACATGATTTTCAATGACCAGTTTTTTAATGATAGATTGGTCTGTGAAGTAATTCATGAACTAAGGGTGGAATAATAAGAAACAGTGTCCTTGGGCTTATACTTTATACCCATTGTTAGCCCTGCCTCTGACTCCATGACTTCACCTTGCACCAGCCCTTTTCCTTATTTTTTGAAGCCTATTTTGGCAGACAGTATGTGAAATCTTTTAGGCGTGAGTATTAATCAAAAGTCAGAGGAAAATAAGATTTTCATTTCGAGATTCAGTTATGTCACCTACCTTCTTTCCTTTACACCATCTTGGAGTTGCATGGTCTCTAAGATATCCATCTCTTTCTCTCTCCTTCAACCACTCCCTCTCTTATTAGAGGTCTCACAGAATTTGCAGACAGAACAATCATTCTCTTTACCATTATCATAGTACCTACCTGGCTGTTAAATATTTTTCCCAGGACTGCAGAAATGGATTAAATAAGGGCACTAAAATTCTCAGTATTGACCATTCTCTTATGTATTCCTTTGACTGTAAATAAAATAGATGCATGACACTTTCGTAAGTTGCTTGATTTTTCTTGCCACCTAAATCATCCAGAATAATAGGAGTTGGTAGAGCTATCCCATTTTGTAAAAATTATTTTCCTTTACAGAGAATTTGGGTCTTTTTGTTATTAATCTATGCACTTGCATTGTTGAATCTCTGTGTAACACCTATTTAAAAAAAAAAACCTTTTATTAAACTGTGGTAAGATACACATAAAATTTATCATTGCCTTTTTTTTTTTTTTTTTTTTT